CATCACCTCCAGCAGGTCATAGTGGTCAAAGATGTTCTCCATCTTGAAGGACCATTCAGCAAAGTTGTCACCGTTGAACTTGTCAAGCCCAAACACCCTAGGCTCATCCCTAGGTGGGCCAAGACTTGGTTGCATGGGCGCCATGGCTGAATCACGGGGTTGGCCTTGAGCTTGAGCTTCTCCACTGCCACCAGCACCTCTGCCACCCCTTTCCTCAGGTCCAGACATTGTCGAAACTGCTCCAAGGGGCTCTGATACCACTTGTTATAGTCACAATAGGCTTGAATGTGCCTAAAACGAAAGATAGAGAGCACAGACGGATTTCTGCACAGCGGCTTCAAACGTTGATAGCGTTCTGCTCACAGCTGCAAATGACTTGATTCAAATTGGATCTGGAGCGTCTTCACGTCGTCTACAATTAGCAATTTAGATTGCACGATTTGATAAAGAATTGACGACACAGCGTCGGTTTGAACGAACGGTACTATGGCAGCCACTATAGTCTTAGAACACAAGATAGGAAGAGTTACGAGTTGGGAATGACTCCCAGCTCCTACAAACCCCAAGAGCCGAGGTACAGTGATGTGGAACAGTGCCACACTGTCCCCAACCACGAAGGGTCTCGAAACTACCCTTCACTAGGGCCTACACCAAGTGAAATGTTACACTACACAAAGTAATGTAACTATCTTCAATATCTTGAGGTGTACCCTTTTGGCAAGCTTCGAAATCACTTGAGGCTTGACACCAAGGCTCGGGCTCTTCATCACAAACTCATCCTTGAGTTCTTGATGGGTCTGCTGCACACACCTGCGACACGCCGAACGTTCGACACAGGACAAAATAGAAACCGCGCACGACAAAATAGAAACCGCGCGCGAGACACAAACGACCGCGTAACACGCGTCTAGCGATAACTCGCTATTGACTCGACACACACACTCGACATCATGACTCAACATTCACACACAATTATAAGCATGAAATATATATTATCCCATGCCCTCATACCATTCCATACACACACACATTCACGCACACGGACAACAAGCCGAGTGCAAACCGTAGGGTTGCACCAACAACGCGCCTGGTTGGCGGTTTTACCACCCCACCTCGCGACGTGTTCTGTCCTCCCAGGACGTCACGTTTGACGAGTCGGTTCCTTACTACCGTCTCTTCCCCTACCGCACTGCGCCCCTCCACCCGCCGCCGCTCTTCCTCGCTGAGCTTGTCGACTTTGCTGCTCACTGTCGTCTAGACTACGCTGCTAGTCTTGTTGCTGAGTCTGAGTCTGTCTGTCCTCCGTCCGTCGGGGGTGAGTGTGCTCTTAGCACGGACGTCCTTGAGGACAGGCAAGAGGAGTCCCAGAGTCTTGCTGCTGCTTTACCTCATCTCGTGTCCATGCTGATTGCCCCTGAGGGAGACCCGGATGCACCAGACATCCCGACCCCGCGCTCTTACGCAGAGGCGATAGAGGGTCCCTACTCCTCTCAGTGGCAGGCAGCTATGGACACAGAGATGGCTTCCTGGAAGTCCACAGGTACCTACGTTGACGAGGTTCCCCCACCTGGGGCGAACATCGTCAGTGGCATGTGGATTTTCAGGGTGAAGCGGCCGCCGGGTTCTCCGCCTGTCTTCAAGGCGCGTTACGTGGCTCGTGGCTTCAGTCAGCGGCAGGGAGTTGACTACTTTCAGACCTTCTCTCCCACCCCGAAGATGACCACTCTTCGGGTACTGCTGCACATAGCTGCTCACCGCGACTACGAGCTGCACTCTCTTGACTTCAGCACTGCTTTCTTGCAGGGCAGCCTGCACGAGGAGATCTGGCTGCGTCGCCCACCTGCCTTCACTGGGTCTTTTCCTCCTGGCACCCAGTGGAGCCTCCGGCGGCCAGTCTACGGTCTCCGCCAGGCACCGCGTGAGTGGCACGACACACTGAGGACTACACTTGCGGCTCTTGGGTTTGCTCCCTCTACTGCCGACCCGTCGCTGTTTCTGCTCACCGACACTTCTTTGCCGCCGTTCTACATCCTCGTGTACGTCGACGACTTGGTCTTTGCCACAGCTGACACTGCTGGACTCGCCCACGTGAAGTCCGAGCTGCAGAAGAGACACACGTGCACAGACCTGGGTGAACTGCGCAGCTACCTTGGCTTGCAGATCACCCGGGACAGAGCACGCCGCACCATTACCCTGACTCAGTCACACATGGTGCAGCAGGTCCTTCAGCGCTTCGACTTCACGTACTCCTCGCCTCAGGCCACTCCTCTGTCTACTCGCCACTCGCTCTCAGCTCTGCCTTCGGATGAGACCGTAGAGCCGAGTGGCCCGTACCCAGAGCTTGTTGGCTGCCTCATGTACCTGATGACCTGCACTCGACCTGACCTTGCATACCCTCTTAGCATCTTGGCACGCTATGTTGCTCCTGGGAGACACCGACCAGAGCACATGGCTGCAGCGAAGAGGGTGTTGCGCTACTTGTGCAGTACGTCGGGCATGGGGCTCGTGCTTGGAGGGCGGCGTTCAGTGGTCCTCACTGGTCACGCAGACGCTTCTTGGGCTGACGACCAGGCTACGCAGCGGTCGTCACAGGGTTACACCTTCAGCCTTGGTTCCGGCTCTGTTTCGTGGCGGTCTACCCGCTCGTCCTCTGTTCTCGGCTCCAGCTGTGAGGCTGAGATCTACGCAGGGGCCATGGCTGCACAGGAGCTACGCTGGCTCACTTACCTGCTGACTGACCTAGGAGAGCCGCCTCGTTCTCCTCCAGTTCTGTACGTAGACAACAAGGCCATGCTGGCCTTATGTCGGGAGCATAGACTGGAGCACAGAACGAAGCACATTGCTCTGCGCTACTTCCTTGCGCGTGAGCTGCAGCAGCGTGGTCAGCTGCGCCTTGCTTACATGGCCTCTCAGGCCAACACTGCTGATATCTTTACCAAGGCACTTCAGCCTTGTGATCATCAGCGCTTTTGTACGATGCTTGGTCTTTTGCCTACTTTGCCTCACTTGCTCACTTCTTGACCTTGCTTGTACTGTGATCTATCTATACCTGCACTTGCTTGTTTACCTTTATATATATAATCTTGCATGTGAACTGGCCTTGTGGCCTTGAACTTGTGCTCGGAATGTGTGGTGACGTTGTGATCCACCCTGAGCTTGCTGTGCTTTGCTTGACTGGTCTTGTGACCTCTTGTTCTCCCCCACTTTGCCTATGGGGGTGTGTCAAGTTTATATGCTATGGTCTATCTAGGCTGTAGTGGGGTAGATACTATAGGGTACAACATTTCTAGGTTTTCTGCTTGTACCCACATTTCACCTAGTCATTCTTTCCTCGTTCTTTCACAGTTCTGTAATCATGAAATTGGTCTGAGAATGGCCTAAAATTGTCCCACTCAACAAGACGTTCCCAGTGTGGCGAGAGAACCCTAAGTACCCAAAATATAGAAGCCCACGGGTGTTTGAAAAATAAATGAACTATATTATAATATGATGCTGACTTATGTGACGTTAATGGGTTGATGTGCCACGCAATCTCCATCAAATACGAGCGTTTCAGAATACATAGAGAAACTGGTTGATTTTATCGATAGAGTTTGGGACCTAGTGGGATGGGGAAGGAGAAAATGTTGGAGGGTTTGACTACTCTAAATTGTTACCTCTATGCATTATCTGGGAAATGAAGAAAAACGTACCAAACTAGCCCTGAATGAATTCGAGTTAGGACCCCTATTCTTCAAATCAGGAAGTTAAGAAACAACGGTCTACTCTCAAAACGCACATTAGAATGCCTAAGGTGGGCTGAAGCTTGCCTGGAATATTCAGGGCAAATGCCCTTCAATTTATGGCGTGTTGCAATTCGCGGCGCACTGCATCGGCTCAGCTCGGGGCACGGGTTTCGAAAGGCTCCAGGAAAGCAAAAGGCCGTAGGGTTCTTACAGGAAACGCGCAACAACATTCTGTGTCCTAGTATAACCTTGGATCGTGAAGTGGCCGAGCTAGTTAGCTGGTTCACTTCCAAAGGATGAGGTCCCGGATCAAATCCCCCCTGCGGCGTGTTCTGCCAGCCCCCCAGAAGGGGGTTACACAGGTGCTCATCTGGGAGTGGATACAACAACCTCGTTACCCAGCGAGGCGTGTAAACAAATGGGTAGGCGGGTTACGACCGACAGCCGGGGTAATACCAAGGGGGTTTCCCCATAACCTTTACCTTTACCTAGTATAACCTTGGCAAATAACTTGTTGAATCACTATCTTGAAAATTTTCTTTCCCGAATCAGTGCCCGTTTTTGGCCTCCCGCCTGCCTGGAGCGCTCCAAACGTCCCGAGCCGATGCAGTGCATCGCAAATTGCAACACGCCGTTATAACCCTTCTCTAGGCTCCTTGGGAGCTTCGACGCAGACTGTTTGTATACCCGTGGCAGTCTCACACACAACCAAGAGAGGTTCAAGGGATACACGAATAACGAACTCACGAAAATAAAATGTCACCAATAAGGAGAATTGAGGACCAGCGATGAGTGACGACGAGTGACGAGGAATCAGTAGGTTTCGTCAGCATCACGTTACACGTAGCACAAGTATTACAGCAGAACAATCGAGAACAGTGCAGGCACCAAGAGCAGCACCACCGCTCACCCAGTGCCTGAATACAAAGCTTGATATTGCTCGTGCCAAAAGCAAAATGAGTGCTGCGCCGACCCAACTTCTGCTCTCAGTTTGCTAGAGTCGCGAATTCTGTTGCGAGTTACGCCTTTGTTCAGATGAGCGTTGGCGCTGCATTCTGCCGCCTTGCGACCCCCGGTGGCTTAACTCGCTCTTCTCGTCTCCTCTCTTCTGACTTACCCCGACGCGCCGCGTCCCTTCACCGCCATATAAGTCTCCCATTTCGACGCCCACCGAGCCGAGCGCAGGGAAACCCAACGACCAATCAGATCCGATCCAGATCCCCGTTCGCCCAATCATCGGGTTCTTCCAGTGAAGACCCTCCGCCGTTTCTCCCCATGGTTCTCCCCGAGCCTCTAGGCCCGTTCCACGTGTCGTACGGGGACTTCGAGTTGCGCCGAAGCAAAGCGCCCGCCGAGCTGAGCGCAGGGAATGGCGGTCACGGGCATCACGTGCACCCGCCGCTGTTCCGCGTGTACTACCCTACTGATGGCAACGCTGAAGAGAGGTAGGCGGGGATTGCCGTAACTGTTAGAAGGAATTGGGTTGGATTGCGCTGGACTGGCATCCGACAATCGTTCGTACTATCTCACTGTATTATAGCGCAATTCGCCATGTTACACTCACCGCCTGTGGCAGAGCGGATTTGCGACACGTCATTGGGTTGACGGGTCATAGCCAGATAGTGCGTGGTCCTGCTTATTTCATGCAGCCTGGGATGGATGGGTGGATGGATGACAGTCAGACCATCTGTGTCTGTGCTTTCACATGCGAATTCAAGAGGCACTAATAGAGTATACCACTGATAACAAGAGCCGTGCTGCGTGCGTGTGAGACTTTCTGTGCTGCGTATGTGCGAATGCATCCGATGGCAGGCGAGAGGTGGAGCGCAGTGCATGGCTGCCGCACGTGGCGTACCTGTACGGCTACATCTGCGCCATGATCCCGCCCTTCTCCTTCTTCGCCTCCATCCTCACCTGGCTGCTCTCCCGTGAGCCCCTCCTCCTCTTCTTACTCTCGCCGCCATGCCTTCTGCTCTCCCGTCCCGTCTTCCCTTCGTCCCTTCTCCCCTGCTTCCATTCTTTCCGCTCTCCCTCCTTCCATGCTTCCATTCTTTCCACTCTCCCTCCTTCCATGCTTCCAATCTTCCCTTCTTATCTTCGGCCCTTCCTCCTTTCAGAGTCATTCATCAAAACGATTTCTTTGCCTTTACTCAAAGTCCACCTTTTTCTTCCGTTTCCTTCTCTCAAGCACAGTTTCTCTCCACACGTTTCTTCCCACTGATGTTGAGTTGAACTCTCTCTCTCTCTCTCAGACCGCCCGCTTTGAGCCGACTTACAGCTTCCAATCCCCGCCCATTCTCCCCACCACCCCCCACCACCAGGCATCACGTACCTACTAATCAAGCCATACGCCGCCATCCGCTGTCTCCCCGCGCGCCCTTTCATCTCCCGCGCCTCCCTGCTGCGCCACCTCAACCACCCCCACGCCGACCCCACCACCAGTGGGGGGGAGAACCCCGAGGGTCGGCTGCCGGTGGTGCTGTTCAGCCACGGGCTGTGGTCCATGCGCTCCACGTACACGCAGTTCTGCTTCGACCTCGCCTCCCATGGCTACGGTGAGTGAGCCCGTCCGTCCATCCCGCTGTGCGTCTGTGTGTGTGTTGTTTGTTTCTGTGCTCCAGCCCGGCATTTGAGCCGTCTCCAAAGGAGTCTGCCTAGCATGGTTGTGGCGAGTCTGTCTCTCTCTCTGGCTGTTCAGTCACAGGCTGTGGTCCATGCACTCCACGGACACGCAGTTCTACTTCAACCTTGCCTCGCATGGCAATGGTGAGTCCGTCCGCCTGTGTGCTTGCTCACGCCTTACTTGCATGGGTATGTGGAGCTTGTCACTCCATTTCTTCCTCGCCCTCCTATTTGGTGACATGCATCGCAGCAGTGCTCTCAAAACAACACAGTTTCTTCCCGCCTTCCCTCATCCCCCCACCTTTCCACTCCCCATCCCTACCCGCATCCCCCTCCCCTCTGACCAACCCCCACCCCAACCCCTCCTCATCATCCCACTCCCTCTCCCGCTCCCCCTTCCAGTGATGGTGGCGCCAGAGTGCACGGACGGCACAGCATGAATGGCGGCACAATTCTCCTCGACTCACCTTTCCTTGTCTCCCTCTGTACAACCTCTCCCTCCCCTTCACCCCAACGCACAGTGGTGGTGGCGCCAGAATACACGGACGGCTCAGCATGCATGGCGGCAGAGACAGACGGGGAAGAGGAGGAGGAGGGGGGGGCGGGGAGGAGGAAAGGGAGGGAGGGTGAAGTGGATTCCCCATGAGCGCATGGACGTGGACTTCTTTAAAGTGCCCATGGAAGTGCGGCACCGGCAGCTGCAGCAGGTATGGGAGAGGACACAAAGAGTGAGGCTGTCAGGTCGTTGAGTGTCTCGGTAGGGAGGTGCCCCACGCTCCGCTCCGCCTCTCTCTCTCGTGAATCCTCCATGAGCGCATGGACGTGGATTTCTTTGAAGCTCCCGTGGACGTGCGACACATGCAGCTGCAGCAGGGAAGCGAGACCCCACGCCGTCGCCGCCTTCACGGCGACCCCAGGGGCGATGGACGGGTTCCCTGAGCCGCTTGGCATAGGGGACATGTTTTACACCCGAGAGTTCCTGGCAGAGGTAGCTTAGGTCTAGCATGCCGTGCCTATACTGTGACCCCTTATAGTGCTTTGACACCTCGCTTGTTTACTCAATGAAGGACCAGTCTAGGAGGTGGTGAGACAGGCAGGTTAGGTAGGGTAGGTAGGTGGTTAGGTGGTTGAGTATCGAGGTGGGTAGGTAGGTAGGTGGTTCACCCGTGCTCTTCACCATTAAGCCACCACGTATGGGAAGAAAATTTATTGTTCAAGCTTTGCTTCCCCCTCACACCCTTTCTCTGACTTTGGACGTGTGGCACAGGCAGCTGCAGCAGATGACTGAGGGAAGACGCAGTGTAAATTAGCCTTTGTTCTTTGGAGATGTATCACTTGAACAGGCACACAGAACGCTCGCTGAAGACTCAGGTCCTTATTACTCACCCTCTCTCACTTCCCAAACTGACTCTGTTTGTCACCCTTCTCCCCGTCCTCTCTTCACTCTCCCCTCCCCCACCTCCTCCTCCCTTCCAGCGCATCACATCCCTGCGCTCCATTCTAGCACTCCTCCACCGGATCTACAGCAAGCAGATATCCATCAACGCAGCTCACCACATATCCCCCTTCGGCTTCCCCCCACACCCCCCCTCGCTCCCTTTATGTGTCTCTTCCCTGCAGCGCATGGCAGCCCTGCGCTCCATCCTAGCGCTCCTCCACCAGTTCAACAAAGGGCACGTATCAGACTCCCGCAACGCCATCACCAGCGCTGCTCGCCTGCTCCCCTCGTCGCTCGCGGGTCGTCTCGACCTCTCCCACATTGCCCTCGCAGGCCACTCCTTTGGGGGCGCCACCGCGGCGTTTCTTGCTGGGGTGGCCGAGCAGCCAATCAACGGCTTCCACCTGTCGCTGTCGCCAGCTGTGCATGGTGGAAGAAGCGATGGGGATGGGGACATGGATGGGAACGAGAACAAGGGCCCCTTGGTGTCACGGGTGTCATCTGTGGTGGTGCTTGACACGTGGTGGCGCCCGTTGCCTGATGTAAGAAGATCTGCAGTTTTGTTGCTGACGACCCGCCTGTGTTAGCATAATATGAATAAGTTTCGCCTGGGATTGGGATTATGTTTGTGTTGGCACGAGTTTTTCTATACTGTCGTTCTGTGCTCTTCCTGCTTCACTGCCACTGCACAGCCTCCCACCTTCCTTGACCACCTGCCCGCCCCAACCTTCTGCCTTTTGCAAACTCTACCTCCAGCTGCTTCATCTGCCTTGCTTCTCAGCATCCATTCGCATCTCATGACCCTTCCTAGTGCTGCTGTGCATAGACACAGAGGGGCTGAACGCAATCATGGCGCCGCTTCTCGTCCTCCACCCCCACCCATCCTTCCACTGTTCTCAACTCCTTGCACCGCACTGCACCGCTCTCCACACTCGGTTCTGCAGGAGGCCATTGCGCTGGCAGGGGGCAAGGCAGCACTGCTGTGCATCGACACAGAAGGGCTGAACGCGGCTCGCAACGTGGTGGCGCGGAAGCGGTTCCTCCAAGGGCGCCTGCTGTCCTGGCGCGACCGGTGGCTGCAGATCGTGAAAGAGCAGGCTAAGCAGGATGGAGAGGCGGAGGAGAAGGGTGTGGGGGGGAAGGGGGTGGGGACGGAGGGAGAGGAGGCGAGGAAGGGGAGTGGAAGGATGGACGGGGAGACGGGGAGTGTGACTGAATTGATTGTGCTTGTGGTGAGTGGGGGGGAGAACTCGTGTTTGTGTGTGTGAAGGGGGAAGATGGTGTGAAATGGGCTGCGTTTTATGTTTTTGAGAGCCTCCAAACCGATCTCCTTTCTCACTCTCGTACTCTATCTTTTCCCTTCGCCCCTCCCTCTTTCCCTCCCTCCCTCCCTCCCTCAATCCCTCCCACTCTCCCCTCTTTCCCTCCTGCCGTCCCTCCCTCCCTCAATCACTCCCACTCTCCCCTCTTTCCCTCCCTCCGTCCCTCCCTCCCTACTTTTCTCAATCCCTTTCCCCGCTATCCCTCCCCTCCCTCCCTCTCGTCCCGTCCCTGTACGACGCTGAACGCCATTCCTCCCGTCCCCCCTCTTTCCCACCCATTCACCGCACACCACAGGGGTCAGCCCACCAGGACCCCTCCGACCTTGCTCTGGTGGCACCTGCCATCATGAAGAGCGCCAAGTGAGTCCCCCCAAACTCCCTGCCTTCCTGCTCCCTGTGTCTTCCCTCCAAACTCCATGCCCCACTCGTCCTTGCCTCCCATCCTCCCTGCCTCCGCTCCTCCCTGCATTCCCTCCACTCGTGCTCGCTCGCTCATCTCCATTTCAACCCGTCCATGCTTCCATCTCCTGCTTCCACTCGTTCCATGTTGTGTACTCTTCAACTCGTTCACGCGTTCATGCTTCCAATCCACCCACCCCACCGTCCTCGCATCCATGCAACCACCGCAGGGCATTCCTACATACCTACCACTGCACATCTGCCCCATGAATTCTTGAAAGAAGTCCTCGCTGCGTGTCGCCATGGCAGGGCTTGATTGTTACCTCTTCAGGTGCCTCATCACCCCCCATTCCGCATCTTCTCCCCCCCCCCTCCCTCCCCCCCCGCCGTGTGTCTCCCCATGCGTCTCCCCATGTGTCCCCATCTGTGTGTCCGCCCTCTGTTGCGCCCATCGCCCTGCGGCATGGCAGGATGGCGGGGGCCATCCCACCGCCCATCTTCCACCGCATCAACAGCGGCGCTGCTCTGCGCTTTCTGCACCAAAACTTCCCTCTTGCAAAGAAATGTGTGTCCTTAGCTCTTTTCAATCAGACCCGCCATTTACCCTTTTCACTCTCTCCCCCTCCCTTCCACCTCTTTTTTCCCGTCCCTTCCTCTCTTCCCCCCTCCCTTCCTCTCTCCCCCCCTCCCGTCCTCTCTTCCCCCCTCCCCTCCTCTCTTCCCCCCTCCCCCATCTCCCTCTCCCTATCTCTCATTGCACGCCCTTCTCTCCTTCCTCTTGTCTATTTTCCCCAAAAGAACTCACCACTACCCTGTGTACAGCAATTCACGTATCGTCTGCTTCCCTTTTCCGCTTGCCAATTCTTCTTGAACGCGCGCTTATCCCATCCCATCCCATCCCATCCCATCCCATCGCTCGCATCTGCTCCCATCCCCTGTTGGCAGATGGGCTACCGGTGCCGCCGGCACTGGCAGAGGACGCGGTGCACATACAGCACGTGGACATACCAGAGTATGTCAAGGACCTAGACCAGATCGCTGTCCCCCACTGACTTGAAAGCTCGCACCTGCAGTACCGCACTGTACCATACTGTCCTACCCATTATGTGTTATTACCAGTCGGACTCACAGAGGGTGCTGTGCAGTGTGCATGTTCCGCATGTGCGGCATGGCATGCTTCGGTGTGGTGTGGTGGTGCATCTGCGATACTGCATGTGGACGTGCCTGAGTGTGGATCAGAATGGGGTAGTAAATGCGGTGTACTAATGCAATACCACTCCAGTTGTGTGTGGTATACGGTATATTATCCTCGGGGACTGGAGGGGACTTGAGGTGACTACGGATGTGCGCGCATGAGTGCTGGTACTGGTACTGTATGTGAAGCAGTTAGGAATGTACTGGCATGTATGTAATTTTGTATAAACCCATGTTGGCTCTGGCCCATTATTGCTCATCTGTGATCAAAGTACGATACGACCGAGTAGCCATTGGTGTTTCCCATGTGACAGCTGTTTTTTACTGGAACTTGCCGGTACCATAACTAGTACAAGAGTGTATGTACCGATATGAAGTTCAAGCCACCTATACCGTGTCTCAAAATAGCCACTATCCTCAACCCAGTGTTATCCACCAACCAAGCCTCTATGCAGAGGGAACTCATTCCCAACATGTGAAATGCGCCCATTCTCCCCCTCTCCCCATTATGTCATGCATGGTACATAGGGCAGCACAGCAACACGGCATATTGGCCGCATTGCCCGCTTGCCAGCATGTATGTGTGGCACTGGCAGCGTGGGGTGCTGGCTGGTGCCCCACACATGTGCGTGAGTGAGTCGGTGCTCAGCAGCGGAGAAGAAGATAACGAGGAGGAAGTAGACAGCAAGGATGGATGGACCCGTACAGCAGTGCGCCTGCCGCCGTGCGTTTGAGAATCCCCGACAGCAACTCCAACCAACGCATGTCCGCCAATCAGTGCTCAGCAGCGGAGAAGAAGATGACAAGGAAGTACACGGCAAAGCCTGCCAGCAGGATGGAGCCGTACAGCAGAGCGCCCGCCGTGCGCGAGGGGAAGCGGTGCTCTATGCGGCAGCACCGCATGGCCTCGTGCGCGTGCGATAGCTCCTCCTCCACGTAGCTGGGGGTGGCGGGGTGTGGGTTTAGGTGTGAGGAGGGGGGAGCAATGGGGAGCAAGGGGTTTGTGGGGGTATGCAAGGATGGACACGGGAGGGTGAGTACTCTATGTGGTAGCACCGGCTGATAGCCCCTCCACGTAGCTGGACAGGGGTGGGTGGGTGTGGGTGGGGAGGGAGGAGCAAGGGAAAGAAAGGGGGTGCAGGGGTGCAGAGTGGTGAGCAGTGCTATATGTGGCAGTACTGCATGGCCTCATGCACATGTGGGGTGGAGAGGTGGGGGCGGTGGTGGTGGTGGTGGTGGGCAGGGTGGGGGTGATCAGTTACACTGCACTGCAATGAGCAAGACGGAAGAATGGAACAGCAGCTGCTTCCCTTTCCCACAACTCCCAACCTCCCGCCTCCCTGCTGTATCTCCTCCTCCTCCACTCGCTATCAATCTCTTCTCCCAGGATTTTGAAGTAGCGCAAACAAGGACAGCAAGGGCAAGAGGTGCCGTGGCGGCAGCACAACAAACGACACAGGGCACACAGCACACAGCACTGAAAAAAAGCTGTAAAGAAGGGAGGGACGCCTGAAAAATTGTCAAGGCAAGCCTAGGCTGCACTGGCCTAAGGAAGCTCAAAGTGTGGAAGGGGGCTGAGGGAGTGGAATGGGGGGAGGGAGTGGGAGAGGGAGTGGAAGAGGGAGTGGGAGGGGAAATGGGAGAGCAGTGGGAGAGGGAGTGGGAGAGGGAGTGTGAGAGGGAGCGTGAGGGGGAGTGTGAGGGGAAGTGTGGGAAGGATGTGGGAGTACGAGGGGGACTGAAGGAGTAAGAGGGGTCTCAGAGAGTAGGAGGTTCACAAATGGCGGGGGTTGAGGGGTGTGTTGTGAAGGTGCAGAAGGGGTAGAGGGATAGGGGGCGTACTGGTGGAAGCCGTGGGTGAAGTGCAGGAGGGAGCGCGAGAGGTGGTGCGCGTCAGCCAGCTCGTGCTCATAGAGGTGGGAGCTGAGCTTTGATAGATGCTCCTCCGCCTCCTGGTGAGGTGAGGTGATGAGCGGACATGGTCGGCACGGGAATAGACATGCAGGGGATGAATACGGGTGGGATGGACGGAGGGGGTAGTGGGGTGGTGCGCGCCGGCCAGCTCGTGCTTGTACAGGTCAAACAAGGGGGGTACCTTCTCAGGTGCGAGTCGGTCCACAAAAGAAGGGGGTACCTTCTCAGGCGTCTCAACAACCGAAGAGCACAAAACTAATTTCTTAAGCCATAGAAGCCCAACTTGACCTAAGCTGCCCACTCATGATTACCTTGAGGCTGTGTGTGAGTCGCTCCACCACAGAGTGGGGTATGGGCAGCGAGGACCGCGCAGGGTCTGAATAGATCGACTCCAGCGCCTTCAGCACCGCGTTGAGACTGCTGCCCGTGCTGTTGGTGTTGCCGTGTGCGTCCGAGCGCGTGGGGTGGTGCACCTCGTTGCCTAGTGCGGCGAAGAGGTATGTGTTGGAGAAGTCCTCTATGGCCTGTGATGGAATGGAAGAGGGAGAGGCAGCAGCGGAATGAGAGAGCCACGCATGGCATGAGAGAGCCACACATGGCATGAGAGAGCCACACATGGCATGAGAGAGCCACACATGACATGAGAGAGCCACACATGGCATGAGAGAGCCCTCAGTCCTGTAGGCACCTGGATGCGGCAGTTCTCCCCCCTCACTTTTCGGATCACCAGTGTCCCCACCTCCCCCTTTCCCCTCAACGACCCCTCTTTTCCCCCCTTTCTCCTCTAAGGCACTTGGACACAGCAGTGCAGTCCGCCCCCCTCCCCCCTTCCCACTCTCCGCTCCCCACTCCCTCCTTCCCCCTCCCCCTCCCCTCTCCACACTCCCCCCTCCCCGCCTCCCCCCTCCCCCCCTCCCTCCCCCCCCTCTCCCCCCCTTTTCCCATCCCCCCCTCTCGCACCTGGATGCAGCGGTGCAGGGAGCGCAGGGAGATGTCAACGCGGGAGTACACGGCGTTCATGAGGATGGTGTCCTTGAGCAACGCGCTCAGCGACGACGTGTTGGACACCGGCCCGAACGGGTGGTGCCCCACCGCCCACACCCAGCTGCGCCGCATGCACCGCTGCCTGTGCACCTGGTGCCGTGCCGGGTGGGCAGGTGTGGGCGGGTGTGTGGGTGTGTGGGTGTGTCGATAACGTTCATACAGATGCATGCATGCAGCCAAACGCGCACCACATGGAAACACACACGCAAACATTACATGCACACATGCGCATGTACAAGCACACATGCACACGGCGAGCATGTTCGGGCAGGCATACACGCAGAAGGGAAAGGAAAAGGAAAAAGGTTTTTAAGACGATTCACACTTGCATGCACGTCAAAGCGCGGCAGAGGAGAGATGGAACAAGGCCCCGTGAGAGAAGAGTGGGGTGGGTATTGCATGAAAGCAGGAGTGGCGTGGGCCAGACATGTGATACCAGTGATGCAGCCATACTGACCAAGCAGCAACAAGTACAGGCAGTGGTAGCACTGCTAGCTGGGAGAAGCAGCAGTGCTAGCTGGGAGAAACAGCAGTGCTAGCTGGGAGAAGCAGCAGTGCTAGCTGGGAGAAGCAGCAGTGCTAGCTGGGAGAAGCAGCAGTGCTAGCTGGGAGAAGCAGCAGTGCTAGCTGGGAGAAGCAGCAGTGCTAGTTGGGAGAAGCAGCAGTGCTAGCTGGGAGAAGCAGCAGTGCTAGCTGGGAGAAGCAGCAGTGCTAGCTGGGAGCATCCGCAGCAATGATGGCAATAGAGTCGGCAGGGGTAGGGGGAAGGGAGAGGGGGGAAAGGGAGGAGGGGGGCAGCAGCGGCGGCGGTGGCGGCAGCATGTGTTACATTGAGGTCTTCATAGGGAGCCACGAGTCCTCCCAGTGATGCTGCTATGCCGGCTGTGAGTGGGCGCTGCAGGTGCTGTGGCGACACAAACACCGGCTGGCCTTCTGACACGAACCTGGTGCAAGTGACAGGTGTGAGGTGAGAGGGATACAGAAGGGGGGGGGAGAGTGAGATTGGTAAGATGAGGAAAGATGTTGCGAACACGAATCTGATGCGAGCGGACCGGAGGGAGAGCGATGGGGGAAGAGGGACCAGGGAGAGTGATGGGAGAGAGGGACTGGGAGATGGATGGGGGGAGGAGAAGGAGAGAAGACAAAACTGGTGCGAGGAGTGTGAGACCGAGAAAGGGCACGAGACGATAGTGTTGATAGGAGAGGGTTGGTCACCAGGGTGAGACGAGTGTTGAGAGGGATGATGAGGGGAATGGTGAGAGGGACGGTGAGGTGGATAATAGATGAATGAAGCATCGAGGCGAGGAGTGGTGGGCGTGACACTGGCATGCCATGGGACCCTTCCACCCACACCATGTATACATGCGTGCACCCTCACATCACCCTGAACCCACCATGCAACTCTACGCTCGCGAACAAACCATACACTCACTCAAGCTCCAGCCCAGCAACCGCTCACCACAACGCATCACCAGCCACCCACCGTGTGCGCACGGTGCTGTTCTCGGGTGTCTGCAGCACCGGCACGGCATCCGACACTGCACACACTTGCTGCCCTTATGAGTCGTCTCAAATGCGACACAATATCCAACCCAACCATCGCATCGCACTGCACCGCACCACTCATACCACCTACCGTGTGCACACGGTGTTGTTCTCTGCTGTCTACAGCACCAGCACAGCATCTGGTGCCGCATACACCTGTTGCCCTCAGCAGTCGCTTCAAAAGCGACCCAATATCCAACCCAACCACTGCACCGCACTTAACTGCACTGCACCACAATGCACCACACAACTCATACCACCTACCGTGTGCGTACGGTGTTGTTCTCTGCTGTCTGCAGCACGAGCACGGCATCCGGTGCCGCATACACCTGCTGCCCTGCGCCCTGCCCCCCCTCATCCGCCATTGTCAGCTGCCCCTCTATGCCCGCTAGTGACAGCACAAAGCTGTGCGGGAGAGATATGCAAGGGGAAGGGGCAGGGAAAGGGGAGGGGGGGGGGGGCAGGATGGATTTTGTTGGCTTCAGCATAACTCTGGCATGGCGGGTTGCCCCTCTATTCCCACCAACGACAAGACAAAGGCGAGGGGGAGAGACGGCGCAAGGGGAGAGAAGCATGGGGAGGGGGTGTTCTGGCACCATCAGCTGTTCCTATATGCCCGTCTGCGACAGCACACAGCTGAGTGAGAAAAAGGAGGGGGAGGCACGGGTAAGGGGACACATGTAAGTAAGGGCAGTCGCAAGGGGGAGTTCGGGTTGGCACAATGGCACTCACATGGGCACCACTCACTCCGCACAGCACCACCACCACAGAACCACCACACCACCACAGTCCACTACCACAGCAGCACTCACACAGGGAGCACGCGTGTGCCGTGCTCCCTCGCCAGCTCTGCATCCACGGCGCGGCGGGCGGTGCTCTTGGTGCGCTCCTTCAGCCCCACGTGCGCATCCCACGACCGCTTCACCGGCAGAATGGTGCGGCGCGGCGGGGCCTTGGAGGGGGAAGGGGGCGACGTGCGCACCACACTGTCCTCCTCGCTCGCACTGGCTGCCTCGTCCGCCGCCTCCACTGCTGCTGCCTGGTTGTTGGGGGGGAAGGGGGAGGGAAGGAGGGAGGGTAGGAGGAGAGGGTGGGGGGGGGAGAGTATGGGGGGGATTGAGGGGGGAGGACGGGGAAATGGAGCTTATGTAGTGATCTTGGAAGGGGACGGCGGTGACGTGGGCACCACACTGTCCTCCTCGCTGGCACTTGCAGCCTCGTCCGCCGCCTCCACTGCTGCTGCCTGGTTGTTGGGGGGGAAGGGAGTGCGTGGGGTGGGTGGGTTGGAGGGGGTGGAAGGAAGAGGGGGTGGGAGGAAGTGTGTAGGGAGGGGGGCGTGAAAGTTGGCTCGCGTGTCTCACAAGGCGTGGACGGAGGAGGTAGAGGCGGGAACAGAACAGAACCAAAGGACTGTGCAAACAGCAGGAATAAGGAAGGGGCGCGGGCAGAATAGGGCAACAGGAAGGGAGAGCAGGGTGCAGGGTACGAACCGGGTCTTCAAGGAAGAGCGAGGCGGAGAGAGCAGGGTGCGCTGCCTCTAGCAGCGCAGACGCGAGCATGTCAGCCGACTCGTGGAATTGCTGTGCGGGGGGGGAAGGACGAGGAATTGGAAGGAAGGAATGAGGGAGGAGGGGAGGAGAGGTTGAGCTGAGCTGAGCCTAGCAGAGAGGATGCAAGCATGGCAGTGGACTTGCGGAGTAAAGTGAAAGAACGAGGGAAGGAAGGAACAGGGTTGGGAAGACGAGACGAGCAGGGGCATGGATGAAGAGAGCGGAGTTGGGAGGGGGAGGGAATAGGGGCCGTTGGAAAACAGGGGGATGAAAATGCAAGGGATTGGAGGAGAGAGCAGCAGACACTGAGAGAAGGGAGAGTGGAAAGGGGAGAGGCCACGCTCCGTATGCGGAAGATTGACGAGTGCGGGAGGGAGGAGAGGGAGGTGAGGGAGGTGAGGGAGGTGAGGGAGGGGGAAGGAGCGGCTCACGTGCAGCAGGTAGGGAGCATCAAGGAAGCTCCTGGTGCCGTGCGAGGTGGAGCCATCGGTGTGGGTGAGCAGTACGGACTGGTGGCGGATGGACTTCTCTACCGCCATGGCCAGCCGCTCGTGGTCGTGCAGCGAGTGCCACCCGTTCACCAGCACCACCTCCTGCCCCGGGGCCAGCATGCCCGTGATCTGGGAGGAAGGAGGGGGAGGTGTTGGGTGAGAGGAGGGAAGGAGGGAGGAAAGGAGTGATTCAAGGCTTGCTACCCCTTCACGAGCACCACCTCCTACCCCGAGGTCAGCATGCCCGTGATCTGCGAGGATGAAGGAGGGGCGCAATCGGGAGAGGAGGATGAAGAGGAGGAGAGGAGGGAAGAACTGGGGAGGTTAATTTATCTCTCTTCTTTTTTGTTAGATGAGATACACTGACTGACACGGGCAACTGAGGCTGGGGAGGGTGTGAGTAGGAGGGGAATCTACAGAGAGTATTGGTAACAACTCACACGCTCGCACCTTTGGCCACGTGGCTCGCATCGCACCTGTGCTTCGAGCTGGTGCAGGTTGATGGAATGGGCATGGCCCGGTGCGAGGGGGTTGAAGTGGCGGTGGTTGGACAGCACTATCACCGCCACCAGCACCCTGTGACTCACGTCCACGTTCAAAAATCTGTTAAGGGAAGTGTGGAAAAAAGGGGGGGGGGGGGGGGTGGGGGGGGGGGGTGGTTGGTTGGAGGAGGAGGGGGGAGGTGCGGGAAAAGAAGGGGAGGTTGTTGGAGAAGGACGGGTCTGTTTCTAGCGAGCGGATGGTCGGACGGAGGGAGGGAAGGGCGGAGGGACAGAGGGACGGAGGGACAGACAGAAAAGAGGTGGAGGCAGCGGGTGAGCAACGAACCGGACGTCGGGTGAGAAGAGGTGCTCCACAGCGGACGACACGACATCCGCCAGAGCACCCGAGAAGAACTCCTTGCTCTGCGGCTTCCCTGCCCCGTGCAGCGACGCCGCCGCTGCTGCCGCTGCAGCCGCAGCCGCAGCGGCACCAGCATTGCCAGCAGCGGCGGTGGCAGCGGATGAGGTGGAGGAGGAGGAGAGAGTGGGTTGGTCAGGAAGGAACATGGAGCGCACGCGGGGGATGGTGCCAGGCACCACTGCACCCTCTGCCTCGCCCAGATGGCCGAATGTGACTGGGCCGGCCGAGAGGTCTATCACCACATATCTGCGGCGTGGGGAGGGTAAGGGGAAGGGAGAGGGGAGAGTTGAGGACGAAGGAGAGGGGAAGGAAGACTTGTGGGAGCAGGGAGGGGTGATGGGAGGAAAGGCTTGGGGTGCGGGCAGAGGGAGAGGATGGGTTGGGTACAGCACAGGGCGGGGGATGATGGACTGGAGATTGGGATAAGGCAGAGGAGGGTCTGATATGAGAGTGCCGCGCAAGGATGGGTGGTTGGTGTGTGTGGTGGTGGTGACGATGATGAAACGAGAGGATGGAGACAGAAAGGGACTGGATTGAAGGATGCATGGGTGTCAGGTTGCAAGGGGCTGAATTCAACCCGTGGATTAGATATCCCATGCCAGAATTTTCGTTCCCCTTTCACGGAACCTTCACATCAGAGCTCTGCCCTGGTGTGCTGAGTGGCAAGCAGACAGACAGTCATGCCTCAAGTGAACGGATCCATCCCATCCCATCCACTAAGGATAGCCCGCCGCATCCCATGCATCGCATCGCATCGCACGAGAGTGGCATCCATACGCATTCACGATTCGCCCTCCTGCCTGCGCAGCGCCTCTTTGAAGAAAGTAGATCGCAAAACAAGCCGCCGCTCTAAGGCAGGCAGCACAATGCTCCTCTCTCCCACGTAACCATTTCGTATCATATCTGTGTGTGCCCTGCCCACGACCTGCGTCACTGTACGAGTCTGCATGTAATTGTGCATACCAACATGCACTCGATTCCAGTACCCGACCCCCCACTCTCCTTGTTCCCTGACCAGCTCAAGCCCCACCCCACCTGCCATAGGACAGCCAGCCACGCCTGAGCGTGCGCTGTCATACAGGTATGCATAAGAGCACGGGCCTGTCCCCATAACCTCCCTCGTTCCCTGCCCAAGTCAAGCCCCACTCACCTGGCGTGTGAGAGCCACGTCTGTGCGTTCCCTGCCCTGCCCTGCACCGTGGCAGGAGTATGCATACGACGCGACGCCCTCCTGCTCCTCTCAAGCTGACTGACACTGACTGGAAAACCACACACTACAATACAGTACCTCTTCCAAGGCAGCTCAACGCTCACATGGCATGGGAGAGCCACGTCTGTGCGTGCCCTGCGCCATGGTACGAGTATGCATACTACGAGTAAGTACTCGCCCTCCTGCTCCTCTCAAGCTGACACAGACTGAAACCACACACAATACAATACAGTACCCCTTCGAAGGCAGCTCAAGGGCTTACCTGGCGTGGGAGAGCCACGTCTGTGCGTGCCCTGCGCCATGGTACGAGTATGCATACGAGTACCCGCCCTCCTGCTCCTCCACCTGCTGCTCACTCAGGGCCGATGTGGCGGGGCCTGAGGGCGGTGGGCGTGACGGGTCCATGCGCGTCTGGGGTGCGAGGAGTGGGCGAGTGTGGTGGACGGGTGGTTGTGGGTGGAGACGGACAGGGGAGGGGAGAAGGAGGGAGAAGGGGATGAGGGAGGGGGAAGGGCGGAAGTGGAGTGTGGAGGGAGGGGAGGGAGAAGCTTTGTGGTAGGACGAGGGGAATGAGGGGTGGTACACGTGCACCTTACAACTGGTGGTGCCTCTAGCTGCAGCTCAGACAGCCCGATGTGGCGGGGCGCCAGGGCCTGGCCTGAGGGCGGTGGTGGGTGGGAGTGAGTCGTGTCGGAGACAGGAAGAACGGAGTTGATAGCAGCAGAATCAGGACCGTTGCAATGCAACTGATGCCTCCTTCCTCCTTCGCCTTTGCGTACATCACATCACACACACACACACACACACACACACACACACACACACACTCGTACCACACAGGTGCACACATCCCCCTTCCGCACCCCCACCCCCACCTCCACAGTCCATCCCCATATACACGCCGTGTGCCTACAAACCTTGTCCAGGTTACACAGGAAGACGGCAATCGCCTTGTGCGGCTGGTTCTCCCCCGCGCTCCCCCCCTCCTCCCCCTCGCCCTCAGCAGGCTGCTCAAAGAGCTCCGAGTACATGCGGTCGAACGTGGGCTCTATGCTCGTGGCCTCCACCGTGTACACCTGCGGTTAATGAATGAACACAGAGGGATGGTGATGGAGGAACAAGGCGGACGTGCTTTTTGAGGCACCTAAGGGATACAACGTGGGTTCTATGCTCGCTGCTTCCACTGTGTACACCTGGGGTGGGGGCATGAACACGCAACGGGGTGGTGGCAGAGGCAGAAAGCGAAGCTGATTCTCCAGGCACGAGGGCCCTATGCTCGTTGCTTCCTCCACTGTGTACACCTGCGGTGGGGAGTGTGATGAATGTGCACAGAGGGATGGTGGCAGAGGAAACAGGCGGGCGTGATTTTTGAGGCACACAAGCGTGGGTGGGAAGAGCTCTATGCTTGTTGCCTCCACTGTCTACCTACACCTGGGGAGTATGATGAATGCGCACAGAGAAATGGTTTTTGGACTGTCTCAAAATGACCACAGAGGGATGGTGCCAGATGCACGGTGCGGATGATATTCTTTACCACGCTTGACATGCCCGCTCCCTGCTCCCTCCCTGCTCACACGCCCGCTCAAGGACTCACAAATAAAGAATCACCTATGCCTAACCCCTCAACTTGACGAGCGTACCGTGGTGTTGCTGCCAGCAGCAGCAGCAGCAGAGCCGGGCGCAGGCTTCAAATTGGAGCGAACGGCTTTCTCTAGCGACACTAGGCTCTCCTCTGATGCCTGTGGCATGTGGCGTTCGTTGAGGCCGGGAGGGAGGGAGGGGGGCAGAGGGGAAAAGGAGAGACGGGCTTTTTTCAAACGACTCGGACGCCATCTAGTGTCATCTGTGCCGTGTGGTGTGGGCGGCAGGCAGGGAGAGGGGATGGGGGGAAGGAGGGAAACGGGGAGAGGTTTGGAGGAGGAAATGGGGGGGAGGAGGGGGAGGTGGAGAGGCGGGGAGAGGATGGGGGGGGAGGACAGGGTGGGGGGAGGAGAGGGAGGAGTAGGAGAGTACAAGGTGCGGTGACAGGCAGGGATGAGGTGTGGGCACATGAGACAAAAGGAAGGAGGGGTGTGAATGGATGGATGGATGGTTGTCAAATGTCACCAGCAGCAGCAGCATCAGCATGCCATGTCATGTTAAAACATCACTCCGAAGAACACACATACAGTCCCCCCCTCGCTCCAGTCTCTACTATCACTCCAATGCCTCTCTGGTTTCCCTACCCCTCCACACCACTCTCCACCGCTCCCAACCCATCCCCCTCCCTCCCTCCCCACCCCACGCACCTTAACAACGTTGTAGCTGAGCTCGTGCTGCACGAGCATCTCGCGGCGCGTCTCCCAGCAGGCGGGGCGGTGGTAGCTGAAGCCGTGGTGCAGCAGGTACTCCACCTGCTCGCCCTCCATGTCCACGCGGTACGCCCCGTCGCCGTCCAGCCCCACCAGCACCACGCTCACCTCCATGGGCACTGATAGGGGCGACTGGGGGGGGAGGGGGGGGAGAGGGACAACGGTAGGGAGTGGGGGGAAGGTAGAGGGGAGAGGAAGGAGGAGGAATGGAGCTGCCGCGGTTTTAAATTCGTTTAGAGACATCTCGTCCCCGTCCAGCCCCACCAGCACCACGCTCACCTCCATGGGCACTGATAGGGGCGACTGGGGGACGAACATGGGGGGAAGTGTGGGGATGGTGGGGGGATGGTGAGGGATGTACGGGATGGGAGGAACAGGGGAGGGGATGTGTGGAGGGGAGGGGGGAAAGTAGGGATGCGGTGTGAAGGTGGAGAGAGAAAGGACGCGTGGTTGGGCAGGCAGAGGCGGGAGAATTGGTGGGACAAGGAGAGGAATAAAAGTCGAAACAGAGATGTTGCGCTTCCTGGTCCTCACTACCAGCAGCCTCGGACCTTACCCCTTCCCTTGAATTGAAACCCCTCCCCTCCCCTCCCCTCCCCTCCCCTCTCCCTCCTCTCCCCGGTCCTCCACCCCCACCCCCTCCCATCCCAGGCCCCTCCCTCCCTCCCCGTTGCTTGTCCATGAGTTTCCGCCCCAATTTCTTCCTTCCTCTACCCCCTTTCTTCCCCCCCACACACACACACCGTTCCTTCCATTTCTCCCCAAACCAAGCCCCGTTCCCTTTCCGGCCCCTCCCCGACGTGGTTCTCTCTCACGTCCGTGTTGCGAAACGGCAGCGTGTCAATTGCCCCAAAACAGAACTACACTCGGATACCGCCCCTCGTCAGTCGCTCCCTCGCCCACCACACCCCCTCCCTCTCCCCCTCCCCTTCTCCCCCCGCGTCCCCAGCGCCCGCCCCTGGCACTCCCCCGCGTGGGCTCTCACGCCGGTGCTGTGGAAGAGCAGCGCCTCTACTCTATAGCTCGCGCCATCCGCCAGGCTGCCGCTACTTATCAGTCGCACCCTCACCCCCACCCCGCCGCTCCCATCCCATCCCTTACCCCCACACCCCGCCCCTGGCCTCCGCTTGGCCTCAATGCTCACGTCGGTGCTGTGGACGAGCAGCGCCACCCGCCACGCCAGGATACCGCCCCTCAGTCGCTTCGCTTCCCCCTACTGCACCCCTTCCCCCCCCTGTCATCCCCGGATCCCATCCCAGTGCTCACATCGGTGCTGTGGAAGAGCAGCGTGTCGATGGAGCGCGCCACCAACGTGCGCACCTCGCTCCCTCATCCCACCCCGCACCACGCAACCCCCGCTTTCCCCCCGCCCGCCTCTGCTCATCACCCCCCCATTCGCGGGTGCTCACGTCGGTGCTGTGGAAGAGCAGCGTGTCGATGGAGCGCGCCACCACGGTGCGCACCTCCTCGAACGGCCCGTGGTGCCACGGCGACAGCATCCCGCGCGGCCGCTTGAACGCGCGCGCCGCGGACTCCGCCGCGCACTGCGGCGCGCGGCTCGGCGCCAGAACTAGGAGGGCTATAGCGAGGATGAGAAGCGGGCGGATGGTACAAGCGGTGCGCGCAGGTGAGAGGGAGGACACGCGACGCGACGAGAAGAGCGAGGGAGGAGAGGGGAGAGACTGGGGAGAGTGTGGAGCGGGAGAGGGAGGAGAGGGAGAGAGGGGAACGAAAGAGGACGGAGGGATCGTAGGGTGTGATATATGGCAGCACTCGACTAGCGACTTCCGTCCAGTTAAATGTTCCGAGCTGGTTTTGGGCGGCCGAACGTCTGTCGAGCGGTGGTTTCGTGAAGCGTTGCCTGCTTGCTGCTGGAGCGGTGACATTGCGGCGGCAAAACCGCCATGGCCATCCATTGATTGACGCGTAGTCAATGCTCGGGAATCAGAAAGACGAATATGAATGCAATGGCAGTCGATTTTGAGCGCGATCCCGACCAGCGAAACCTGATCTGATCGGATCTGAAAATTGGTCTGTTTGAATTACGACTGGGCACGATCCGCAAGAAACCGAAAGCGACAGACGCGCTGTTTGTGAGAGAACTATTAGATCCTGCAACAATCGGGGAGGTATCTCCGATTCGTGGCTAAGAGTAAGGTTGGTAGCTACTAATTTGTGGCCATGAAATCTTTCAAAGACCCAACACAAGGGAGACGCCGGCTTGAACTTCGCGGGGTTAGTGATGCGATCGTGGGGGCCTCGGCGATTTCGTTACGGTACGAGTGCGCGGAAAATGCAATATCGAATATATGATTACATTACGTCCATACAAATTAAGACCTACTCAAAATTTGTAAGTAGCTTGTAAGCGGTTTGCGCAGTAAGAAATGGGATCTTCTTACACCTCACCAAGTTCCATAACGAGGACTAATCGATCGGCCACGCTGCCAAGGCCTCTTGCTCACAGCAAAAGGAATGGTTTTCTCTAGCCAGGCTATCTGAAAACAAGCACTAATTCTAACACAGTGTAAAGAATTTTCTCGTTATTCCTTACCGCGGCCGTCAACATCGCGTACAGCAGCAGCCGTTGTTCGCCCGTTACTGCTAACGGGGCTTCGCCAACTTCGCGCGCACTGTTACACCAAACCTCGCACTGCTGGAGCAGCCGAGTCGGCCTACGCTACCGGACTAGCCCGAACCTCGCGCCAGCGTAGCACTAGCTAGCTTGCACGCACCGCATTACAGTTTGCACATTTTCACGTATGAGTATTCGCTCATGCCTTCGCTCATACTTTGTACTTTTGAACACTCTAGTGCAATCCTCGCTACCTCGATTCATTGCACCCATAACACTTGGTTATCAGAGCCACTTTCTTTTCGGACCGCGCATCTCCGCATCCCAGGAAATCAACTTTTGATTTTTCACTCGAAGGGACTCACGCACCTTAGCACCTAGGAGCCGCTGTCATCGCGTTCTCTCGTAAACGCATGCAGCCATGACTGCGCCTAGACTAAGCCGAGCCGACGCCCTTCGCTATGGCTGAACATATCGACGTCACCACACTCACGCAGGACCGTTTGAACGAACTGCTGCGGCAACTGCACGAAAGCTCTGAAGAAATCACAGCACTAACGGCGGAAGCACATCCCTGCAGAATGACGTCGCACGAGCACAACAAGCATAATCACGAGCATCTGGCACTCCGGGACAACCTGCACCACAAGCATAGCAGCACGGAAGTGTGGAGCAACCCGCGAGCGCGGCCAGTGATGGCGTCGTCCGCCACGACGGAGACGACGACCACGACACGACACACCCCGAAGCGACAAATGCGGCCAGGAGCCAGCCTCGCGTCACGATTTCGGCACCGACCAACGATTCGGCACTGCCGTCACCGATGGCGCTGAAGCCGCAGCGTCCGCCATACTTTGACTTGAGTCAACGGGGTGGTCCTACCGTTCAGGCGTGGTTGTTTACGTTGAACGTGTTTTTCGACGCCAACTACGTCTCGGAGGTTACGGCGAAGATTCGCTACGCCGTGTCGTTGCTGCGAGGACCCGCCATGGACTGGTGGCACGACATCGTCATGAAGCCGATGGACTACGCGACTCTACCGACACGGGAAGGACGAACCGGACCCTGGGCGCCGTCGTATTTCGTGGAGGTGCCCCAATATCGCACGAGGGATGCGTGGTGCGCAGGTCTGCGTGCTCGGTTTGAGCCAATTGCGGCTTCGATCGCGGCGCGTCAGAAACTCCATACTTGGGGCCAACTCGGTTCCGTCCAAAACTATACCAGCGGGTTTTTGGCGCTGTGCGAGCAGGTGGGCTACATGCATGAATTTGAGCGTATCAACCGCTACATCGGCGGCCTAAAGCATGACATTGCTCAGGAAATCCAGCTCCGCGGCGTCATAGATTTTCAGGAGATTCTCGCCATGGCGGAGAAGCTCGATTTTTTCCGCCGACCGAGACCGGGGTCCTACGGAAGTAGCAGCAACTGGGGACATCGATCTCGTGGGATGAACGAGAGCGCCACGATACGTGCCGTCGCAGCGAATACCGCTGCCGCACCATTTAAAAAACGCTGCTTCGCGTGCAATCGGCCGGGACACCGCAAAAGCGAATGCCCAGAAAACGCTAAGGGAAAGGGGGAAGCTGAGCAGCAGAAATAGGCAAGCAGCAGGGAAACGCTGGGAGTCAGTAGCAGACGGGCCCTCTACTGACAGGTCACGCCGCTCGCCCGACCCAACCGACCCTCACCGAGTGATTGTGTCGGTTCACGCAATCGACCACACCCGACCGAATAAGGAGGGTACTACGGTAGACAGCCCCATACTGCTTAGCGGGAAGATTGGGACAGACTTAGTTAAATTATTCGTAGACGGGGGAGCCAGCCACAGCCTGATCAACACCGCCACAGCACGAAAACTGAGACTGCCACTAGACAGATGCTTACCTGATATCGACGCAAGACTGGTCGACGACACGCCACTGGCGATACAAGAACGCGTAGACCGGGTTCGGATTCGATGCGGGGGTAACTTCACGTTTAGCCAGGAAATGCTCGCAACAACCCTCGACGGAACCGACATTTTACTCGGTCGTGATTGGCTGCGACGACACAATCCGCGAATCAACTAGACGACGGGTGACTCCATCGTGCAAGTGAACGGTAACAACATCGCCTTACCTCGCTGGGGCTCGCCTGATTATTCGTCGATGCGTGTCAATGCAATCACGATGAAACGCACCGTAGCGGCAGGAGCTGGCGTGTACGCGGTCGACATTCGGGAAGCCGAGGCAGCGGACAAAGGGGGGGATTTACAGAAACTGCTAGCAGACGTACCAGATGACTTGGCAGCATTACTGAAGCAGTACAGTGGGATTTCTCGGAAGCAGCTAGACTATCTACTTGAGAAGGAATTCATTCGCCCGAGTTCGTCACCCTTCGCAGCGCCAATACTGTTCACACCGAAAAAAGACGGGGTGTTTCGCATGTGCATCGATTACCGCGCACTGAACAGGGTTACCATCAAAGCCCGTTACCCCATCCCACGAGCCGGCGAACTGATCGACCAACTGCGCACAAGCCGGGTTTTCTCGAAAATCGACCTTCGAGGAGGCTACCACCAGATCCGCGTCAACCCACCCGACTGCCCGAAAACAGCTTTCCGAATGTGCTACGGATCCTTCGAATACACTGTCATGCCCTTTGGACTGACCAACGCCCCCGCAACTTTTCAAATGACCATGAACGAAGCCTTCTGCCCGCTTTTAGATAAGTGCATCATCGTGTACCTCGACGACATATTGATTTACAGCCCAGACAGAGCACAGCACCTACAAGACATTGAAGCAGTTTTTAAAATACTGAGTGAGAACCGCCTACTGACGAAAGCATCTAAGTGTGAGTTTTACAGGAAAGACTGGAGTTTTTAGGACACATTATTTCAGCTGAAGGAGTGGAAATAGACCCGAAGAAGATCGCGACGATTCAAGCATGGCACGCGCCGACGAATTTGACCGAGCTGCAGAGTCATTTGGGGTTCGTCAACTATGTGCGCCGGTTCGTTCTCGACATGGCGAATTTGACTGCTCCGTTGACCGACCTGCTGCGGAAGGGGGTTGAGTACACGTGGGGGGAGAAAGAGCAAGCTGCCTTCTTGGCCCTCAAGCAAATTTTGCCCTCGCCGCCCGTGCTTCACATCGCAGATCCGCACCGTCCGTTCGAACTTGTCACCGACGCAAGGGACATCGCCGTGGGAGCAGTACTGTTGCAGGACTTCGGGAACGGCCTCCAGCCAATCGCGTACGAATCCCGCAAACTTCACCCGCCCGAACGCAACTACCCGATTCACGACCGCGAAATGCTGGCGATCGTGCACGCGTTCAAAGTGTGGCGATGCTACCTCACCGGAGCAGACGTGACAGTACGGACATATCACCAATCACTAAAGTACCTCCGCGCCCAACCGAATCTCAATCCACGACAGATCCACTGGTTGGACTATCTGGAGTCCAATTTCCACTACACCGTCACATACAAAAAGGCGCATCAACAATCGCCGACGCACTCACACGTCCTACCGCTCAACTCCACGCCATCCTACTCGCCCAAACCAACCCACTGTTAGCAGGCCTATTCACCCACGGATACAGTACCGACCCATTTTTCACGACTGGAAATTCACAGCAACTGGCAGAAGCAAAAGGAGTCTATTACGTAAAAACAGGCACCAACTGCATTTGGGTACCCGTGTACTCACTACTGAGGGAACTGTTACTGCTGGAGGCACACGACGGGGTTACCTCGGGTCACTTTGGGGCAGAAAAAACGCAACAGCAACTGCAGCGGTATTACTACTGGCCGGAGCTGTTGACCGATGTACAACACCACGTGGGCTCGTGTCCTACGTGTCAGGTGATGAATAGCTCGCGAAAAAGAAAGGCGGGTCAATTGCAGCCGATACCACCGCCCGAGCGCGCCTGGCAGCAG